AAAAATGGCGTCTGAAATGGTTTTGTTAAACGTCAACACGAAACGAAACTAAAAGGTTGCCCGTAACTTCAAAGCTGCGGATTTCGACCTTGAGTCTCAGTTTGTTTGGAATAATGCAAGAATGATTCATGGGGCAAAAATCAATCTTTAGCTATATAAGCTTATTAAGATATAAACAGGGAATGACAGGCAAATAAAAACGTGCAATAAATAGATCGTCAATTTAACGGGAAGTGGATTATGCCTGGTAATCCTTAACTGTACATCAGAGCTACTTTATCATATTCTATTTGCATTTCTGGTTCTAATTTGCACAGGAATTTTGCATTCTCCAGATACATTACACCTAGTATATCATTCGTATATTATGATGTTCTTGTTTTTCATTTTTCTTTTATGTTGAATAGAATTAGTAAAAGCAGAGAATTTTCATGAAACGTTTCTCATTAGATTTTTCAGTATGTCATATTATGAACTAAAATTACATTTGTTTCTCAATATAAATACTAGAAGAAAAGATTTGATAGACCACAATACTTCTTTAAATGGTACTTTTCTGAATGCCAAAGTATCACCATAAAACTTTTTTTATACCTTACATTCCTTAACATATTAAAGAAATATTTAAATTATTTTTAAATTTAAAAACTTAAAAATAATTCTTTTTTTTTATTTTTTAACCGGTTCAGTGCTGCATTTTAACTCGGTAAGCCCGAGTTAACACGGGAGCGGCACTGAACGGTTAAAAGACAACTTTTTGTTACTGGGCTTGAAATCTTAGATGTGCCATCTAAGATTTCATAACAAAAAGTAACTAAAAAAATCACCACTCAAAGCACAAGTTTTCTCAAACTTTTGCCGATTTTGTTCCACATGAATAAGATGCACTATCATGTACCAATATATGCAGCAAAAGAAGCGCCATTTTGTAGTCATTCTTAAAATGTATTTAAATCATTGTGTAAAAATTGTACCACCAAGAATAATGTAATGTACTATTAGTGGTACACTGCGGGAAAAAAAGGGCAGACAGTTCTATATCTCCCGTTCTACTGGGCTCGATTGACGAAATTTAAATTGCGTTTTCCAACTCGCGAAAGCGCGACTTAAAATATATATTACATTTATATATATCTTTGTTCTAACATAGGTATTTTGACACAAAATCGGACATTTTCTGAAATAACATACCAATGTTTTTCCATATTTTGCTTCTACGATTCAAATTATGCTTACGATATTAAATTTTGTAATTTTTGGCAAGAAATTTATGGAGAAATTTTAAAATTTATCTTGGAGAATTTTTTTCAGTTTTTGACAAGAATAATTTACTTTGCGAACTTCTTTATTTGCAGCAATCTATGTTCCTTTCCTTTTTCTTCATTGCCCACGAGCGGAAAAAAAGTCATCGTTCATACTGTCAAACGATTTTAACAAAATGCGTAAACCAAATTTTCCTTATTATCGCTTATAATAAATATGCCAAATTTCAAAACGACACACTGGAATGTCTTCATCAAGTTTGTTATATAGATTTGTTTGATGAAATAAGAGAACTTTACTTTGTTAGGTACTTACGTATTATCGCAACCAGGTTGACGCGATTTGTAAGTTTGAGTAAAAAAGTATGAATAGAAAGAAAATGTACATTTATTAATTACAGATAATTTTAATAAAGTTTTTTATATTATTTTGTTTAAAATATAAAATAGCAATTAAACCCTTTCGGTTTCGAATTTGAATAAGTTGCAGAATTATTTTTCGGCGGAAATCTTTTGGCTATTGCTTTTAGCATGATTGAAAACCGTATTCGCCATAACCATGTACACGTCGACTTATTTTTACTTAAAAAAACATCCCAGAATTGCACAAAAATGGCATTGCGCACACTCTTGACTTTATCCATCTACACTGCCATTTTCTCATAAATTACAAAAATTTGCACGAAAATGCAGGAAAATTTTGTGAATCTCCACATGCTCTTTTTATAAAACTACGTATGACACGTAGAGTTGCCGTAAGTAGGGTCGCCAAATTTGGCAATTTATGCGAATTTTGGCCTGGTTGCGATAATACGTAAGTACCCTTTGTTATTCCAAAAATGGTTTTCATTTCACATATTCTCCTTAGTTGTTGAGATAATGATCCCATTGATATGCTAGTTTGTCAATTAGTTTTCTGTGGAATTCATCAAGCTAGTTGCGGAGCCATGAATAAATTGCAGTCTGCAGTTCTAAGCGCAACGAAAAGCAATGCTTCCTCTTGTGGACCCTCTCTTTGTGACCGAACACGTAAAAATTCCCAGAGATTATCATCTTGCGATTTCGGTCAAGTGAAGAAAGTGGTTGGTGTTTGGTCAAGTCCGGATTATTGGGAGAATGGGGTAGCATATCCTATCCAAACTGTCGGTTGCAATAGAACATTCCAAATTGACTTATTCCTTACCTTCAAACGTTGCAATGTTCCGAAACAGCAACCAACATTGACTGCGGCGCCTTTCAGCAACAAACTGATAGAATAGTTCCTCAATGATCAAAGGAAAATGGTCGAATCTTTTCCAGCCCTGGGATAGACTATGGTTTCCTGCATGCTGATGATGTAAAATGTTTCTATTGTTGACTCATGCGTTTCGTTTTCGAAACAAAAGTGTTAGCTTTGCACATGCTTCATCATCCGCTCATTGTATCGAGCGTGGCAGACCCACTGTACTGCTCTTTTTTCAGTCCTTACACCAATTAAATGCAGCCGCATGTTTTCCTTGTATACTGCCCGCACGGATTATGTCTGCTGGCTGCGTATTTTCGGCACACAGGAACTGGATCACACACCACTAGAAAACGATCGCTGCTTTCATTCCTGTTCAATGGCCAAACATCTAACTGGCAAACAAAACCGATGAATAACTTTGTGGGTATAGCACGCGCATTAGGTAAATGCAGCAACCAAAGTCGGACAAAGGTAAGGCAAGTGAGGCACTTACCTCAGGTGAACGGTTAAGAAGAGCATCAAATTAGATGCGAAATTTTAGAAATGCATTTAAAAATAAATTATGACAGTTAACTTTCAATTTTGAAATGTTCCGAAAAGCAAAGTTTAAAAATAGCAAATTTAATCAATAAAAAGGGCGGTATATTCTTGAGCACTTGCACGACTGGTGTGCGTTTCTTTAATCAATTAAGCAAATCAAATCAAAAATTTCATCGATTATTAAATATTTAATATTCAGAGCAAGACAAAATATCATTATCACATACTTTGTACAATTTTCTGTTCAGTACTTTATATTTATAAAGAAAAAAGGCATCAGACATCGAATGATAAATGAATGCAGTGGGCTGTATAAGCCTAAGAGCCTCTTTAAGGAAATAGGTTTAGAAGTTTATGTATGCGTTAGTGAAAGTAAATATTGAAAGAAAATGGAAGGTAAACAAAGCCTTGAAATTAAAACTTAAAATATACATAAAGTTGCATCTTAATATAGGGATAAATATAATATTGAATGCAGGTAAATAGTTTGGCTGCGTGGGTGTTTTCAGTATCTTATTCACATGGAATGTAAATACGAATCTGTTTCTCTCAGAAAGTACTCCATGAAGCCATCCTCACCCTTAGGAAAATAGCTCTTGCACGTTTGAAAGGATTATCTTTTTCTTTACAGAAAATTAAAGAAATTATTCTTGAGAAATGTAAAAAATTAGCTTTGAAGGTGAATGTATCAACAAAATATGATGAGAAATTAAAAAGGAAAATCAGACTGACAAAAATTATTTGAAAGAACTTATTTCTTAGGAAAATGCTTTTCACAGTAAAAATAAAAGAATCGGTGTATATTTTAATCTCACAACTAAAATAAAGGTATCAAGATTTATACGAGATGCCTTCGGATTTCTAGTTTCTAATAATGGTGTAAAAACCGCTAAGTCGGTATAGTGGTTAGGGAAGCCTGACTGCGATACCGAAGGGCCTGTGTTCGAATCCCGGAGAAGGCATGGTTGTAACTGTCCGTCCCTTCATAGGAGGCAATAGTAGCCCACTTATTAGGTGCCTTCATAATAAAGAGACCACCACATCTGGCCTTGTATAGATTAATGGAATGTGTTACACTGTAACTGTTCACAATCTGCCATTGGGGGAGGGGGAACTGGCGTAAAATTAATGCAGTTTGATTTGGGTGATTTTAAGCTTAAGTTAGGTTGAAATTGCCAAAGCACATGAGGACTATCTGCCTACGGAGAAGAATGCTCAGGTATTTTATAAAAGACTTGTTACTACTTAGAATTTAAATACCCAAATAATAAAAATGCTCCAGATATTTCCTCAGAAATATATAGTTTTAAAAATTAAGCTATTTTAATTCTAGTCTCTAAATCAAAATCGGATCTTTTATAGGTAATTTAGGAATAGAGTTTAGTGTAATCACATCTGAACTGGGAAACTATGTTCAAAATATTTTTTACGTTGGTAATTCTATTGTTAGAATGAAGGAAGCTTCAGAAAACTTAAAATAATAATAATATTTTTTAAAAAATCTGAGAGGTTTCAGATTTTAAATTACGTCCAAAGGAGCGTTTTTTTAACGTTTTGTGTGTTACCTTTATTTATTAAGTATCATGTTCTACGCATTCAAACGCTAAAATTCAGTTCAACAGCAGTATCGCAAAATAATGTTAAAATGAGCATATTTTTTAGAATTTCCGATACTGAATCTCACGCGCTGGAGATAAAAATGTTTTTTTTTTTTTTTTTTTTTTTTTTTTTTTTTTTTTTTTCCGTACAGTGTTGCTATTGCTCGCTTTGAAATCGAATGACAACGTATGTCAGGCTGCATGGAAATTATGCACTTAGCTTTTAATAGCAAAATACTATATGAATATTCATAGTAGTATTCTTTAAAACTTTCATATGAGAAAAACACTGTAAAATAATTCAAATAAGAGTTGATATGAAAATTTTTAGAATTCTTAGTACGTAAAAAAATGTCAGAAATAACTGCTAATTACCTTGGAGCGTAAGACGCCATGGTTTCCACAGCTTGTCAAAAGGCAAATCAAGTTCTAATTCCTCGAAGAACACCTTGTATGTTCTTCTAGGTTTCTTTGATAAAATGGCTACTTGCTTCCTAATTATTGTTACGTCTTGGTCAAAAGCTGGTAAGTATATAGAATTGGCTTTTTGTTTGGAAGAGCAGCAGTTCATGCTGCTTTTTTTCCCTGCAGCGAATCACAGTGTTCCCCTCAAGTATATGGAATGCAATATCAGCTACACGAATAAAATAAATAAAATATTATTAAAAAATTATAGCTAATATTAATTCGAGTATAAGTATTGCAGTATGATGAATGGGATTTTTTTTTACGGGAAGATATTTCTTGGACTGCTCTTAGTGTGGAGTAAATTAGATATCAAATACGGTTGTGAAGCTTCTTATATCTACAGAACAATTATATATATATATATACAAAATCTGAAAGTATTCAGATTTTATATTACACCCAAACGGGCGTTTTTTTAACGTTTTCAGTGTTATTTTTATTTGTTGAATATCATGTTCATCAAGTTCAACAGCAATATCATAAAATATTTAACAGAGCATATCTTTAGAATTTCTAATACATAGTCTCGCGCGCTGGAGATGATAAAGTGTTTATTTATTTATTTTTTTTTTCGTACAATGTTGTCAGTGCTCGCTTTGAAATCGTTGAATTTCTTAATCAAAAACTGATAAATGCTTTACAAAATATGAAATAGATAATAAAACAAATTCCAAATTTGGGCTTCCAGATGCCCATATTCGGTGGAGGATTACGTTATTCAAAATTGGGTGGCTCCAGGTACCGTCGATTTATCACAATGCGAGAAACATACATAAATTTATGCAGATTCTTCATTATTTAATTTCTTTAAATATAATACAGGGCTCTAATGTTTGGTGGCAGCAATTTAAAAACTTTATAGTCACCCTTTATAGTGAACCAACAACGCCAAAACGAAATTAATAGCCCTTCTGCGCTAACGCTGTTCGGGATAAAAATCTGAAAGGTTTCATGTGTTGTAGTATGCCCAAACAGGCCTTTTTTTAATTTACAGACACATACATGTTTCGAGAGCATTTGGGCTGAAGCTACATTATGCTAAAAATATTTTAAAACAGCATATCTTTGGAACTTCCGACAGATAGTCTTGCGCACTGGAAATAAAAATGTTTTGTTCCCTACATTAATGCCACTACTCGCTTTGAAACTATTGAGATTTTTAATCAAAAATTCGTTAAAATTTTATAAAATATGAAATAAACCATAAAACAAATTCCAAATTCGGGCTTCCAAGTGCAAAATATGATGACTCTATAGTACCGTTGTTTTATCATAATGCGAGAAACATACATACATTCTTGTAGATTCTTTACTATTCAATTTCTTTAAATATAATACAGGGCGATAATATTTGCTGGCAACAATTTCAAACGTGATTCAGACATTTAAAGTGATTCAACGAAAAATGCCGTTTTGAGAGTAATAGTCCTTCTGGGCTAATGCTAATTGAAAGGAAAGGAAAAGAAAGGAAAGGAAAGAAGAAAGAAAGAAAAGAAGAACATTCTTCACATCAGCACACTTTCTCAACTCTTTCGGCGAAAACGTCATTATTACCCACTTCCTCTTATGGAGCTGATGGACAAGAATTCAAATAGAAGAAATCTTATGGAAATACAAGTATACCAAAACAAACTTCTGGAATCTATCTGAAAAAAGGTGGAAGGAAAAATATCTACTTGATTTACGAACAGCCTACCATTTGCACACTCCTAACCCTAGAAAAGTATTAAAAGCTGGAGATGTCGTTCTTTTAGAGGGGTCTAAAATGTCTTAACTCTTATGGGAGTTTGGTGGATAGTAGAGTTGTATAGAGGACGAGATCAGCATGTTCGCTAGCGTTAAATCAAAACGTCTAAAGGAAAATTGAAGAGGCTCGTACAAGTAGTCTTATATCCATTATAAGTTGTGAACGAACTTTAGAACTAATGACTTTGCTCCAGCATTTAATCAGAATAATTTTTGGAATGAAAATCCTGAAATAAAGGTCAGGCAGAAGCTAGATACTAGACAGGAGTGGTGTACTAAACCATCTTTGATTTATAGATATTACATATGTAGATTAATTGATTATTAACCTGTGCATAGGACATGAATAAATATTTTATCTTAACTAAATTTTGAACTAAGTATACAAAGTCCACAAAACGTAATTTGGTGTGCTTTGTGTACGTCGAATGCTGGACGAGTGTGGACAAGCCAGTGATTCAGGAATGGAAGAAGGGTGTAATGTAGATGAAGAGAACAATTTCATTTTTTCCACATGTACAGAGTTAGATATATATTACTACTACTACTCGTCCCTGAGGCAGGCTCCCGACTAGGGTACCACACGGGATTTTCACCTACTCATCGGATTTGAACTACTTCACGTCAAACCCCAGCCAAGGACTAGGATGAGAGTACAGACAGCATTATTGTGTTTTCAAAGAAAAAAATATAGTAATAACATGGGCAAACAAGGCCTCTTGAAGAAGGTACAGTTTTCAGCGAAGAGACACTTACTATTATTGATAAACAGAATAATTCCTGTAAAGATTACCAATAGATTACTAACAGTAAAATAAGATAAGCATACAAGACTCTTGAAGAGAGTACATGTTTTCAATGTAGAATACATAAGTACATTTAACTGCATTTACATTTAACTGCATGAGTACATTAAACTGCATTTACAATGCATAAAATACATAAGTACATTTAACTGCATTTACATTTAACTGCATTTACAATGCATATTATACATAATAAGTACATGTAAGTACATAAACATGCATAGAATGCATAAATATATTTAACTGCATTTACAATTAACTGAGTTTACACTTAACTGACAACAACACGCATCCAGACAAATTTGCAATCAAATGTATATATAATAATGTTAACACTCTATAAAATGCTGGGCTGCAAAAAGGATAAGACCTATGATGTGCAATACAATAGCTAACTATTTTAATGTACAGATAAATGTAATAAAAATGCATACTATTGTAGATAATATAAAAGCACAATTCAATTCCGAATATACCTCTGGGTTACACAAAGTGCATAATAAAGTTACCAATAATGAAATAACATAAGCATACAAGGCTCTTGAAGAGAGTACATGTTATCAATATCGAGACTTCATTTTGGTGTAATTTTACAATAAATCAGAGTATAGTTTTACAAAAGGTGAAGGCTTACTAATGTAGACAATGATAAGCTAGACAATAATGAAATTTAATGTGGAAATAATGATATAAACATTCATTTATATGACATGTTGAAATCATTTAAAGACTACGTATCACTTACATTAAAGTGTACATTAACATTTTTAAGCATATAATCGTTAATCCTTACAGGTATATATTTAAAATTGCTGTACAGAATGTGTATAATAGTATTACGTTTACTACAATTACAAAAAAAAAATACAAAACAATAAAAAAATTACAAGAAATGTTGGCCTGGAGTGAATGAAGTGCAATGGAGTGGCTAGCTGTCTTACAATTGGACAGATGTGGAGCTAATTCCGAGACTGTGTAACAGTCATATGTTGTGCAGTAGCTCATGACATGTTCAAGTTTGGTCAGTACTAATCTGTTTTCTAAAACCCTAGCTGTCCATACCTGTCAGTGCTCATGAGAGGGCTTACGTAAATGAAAGCTCTCGGTATTCCTACATTCAAAAGCAAAGTGGTCTGAATCACCTTCACAGTTGTTAGATGTACTGAGTTTAAAGCGATGCAAGTACGATGGAAAGGGCCCACGTCCAGTGAGCAACTGTGTGAGATAAGAGGAGTTACTCCTTATTTCTACGCTGACTTTTGTTAAGTGCCGATACAGCCTTCTTCCCGTGTTTGTTAAATCCCAGCGCGCTTGCCATTTAGACACTAGATGTTTTCGCATCATTCTTTTCAGGAAAGAAAGGGGAAGTGCCATTGTCTGCTCCCTACTTGACACATTATTAGCTGTTTCTTTTTCTAACATATCAGCGTGTTCGTTGCCCTTGATTCATGTGTGGGCAGGCACCCAGGACAAGATCGGTCTTGGACCAAGGTATCTTTTCAGGAGCATTCTCTGTACACTCTGAATTAAAGGATTTCCACTGCGAGTTCCTGTTATTACTGCGAGGCTTAAAGCTGAATCACTATATATAATAGTGCTATATTTAGATTGTTGGAGAGCATAGCGAATGACTGCTTGCAGAGCAGTCAATTCTGCCTGGAACACAGAATTTTGTTCTTCTAGGCGTTTTTTCCAACTATGAGTTATATTACTCTTAACCATTACACAGTAGCTGCTTCCCGTATCGAGCTCCGTTTTCGAAACATCTGTGTATGTGGTCATATCATACTCTTCGTGCAGTGTAATTTGAGGGAACAATCTTTCCAGGTCAAAGCTCGCCGTTGCGCTTGATTGCATTTGTGAGAGTGCTCATCCTCTGTTTTAGGTCTTATTAATGCGGTTCAGGACAAGTGGCATCTAAGACAGCCTATTATTTATAGTCAGCCCGAGGTATTTCGGTTGATGGGCAATTTTTATTCGTATGCCCTTGAAGTCTGAGGCTGGGAGTTTTCTTCAGAGCGCTTTTGCGTTCGATCACCATTGCCTGTGTTTTATCAATTGAAATTGTAAGTTTGTGTTCTTTGATCCAACAACAGGCTTGTGCTCTGTTAGTAGCATCATTTCTGCCTGCAACGACAAGTAGGAAATCATCTGCGTAAGCAATCAGCGTGTTCGAGGTCATCAAAGCAGTCAAATACCGAGTTGGCCACAAGGTTCCACAAAGTAGGACCAAGTCAGGATCCTTGAGGACAGCCCTGTGTAATGGTCTTTGAGACTACAGCTTTGTTTATAGTAATTTGTACATTCCTATCTTGAAAGTAGCTGCGGACAATGTCAGTTAAACCAGGACATCTTATAGACACCAAACAGTCAATCACATCCTGCCACTTGACATAAAGGGTGCCAAAAGCACCCTTTATGTCAAGGGCTATGATTATGCTGTGCATATCCCGTCTTCTATTTTTGACTAATGTTGTTATAAGATCCCGGAGAGCATGCTCAGTTGACTTGCCGGGCCTAAAGCCATATTGCTGTTTGAGTATGACTTTATGTGAGGCTAGATAATAATTAAGTCTAGTCAGAATCACTCTCTCGAAGACTTTACTGAGTGCAGGAAGAAAGCAGACTGGACGATAGGAAGTTGGAACATTCGGATCTTTTCCATTTTTCAGAAACAAGGCGACTCCTGCAGTTTTACTACCTTTCGGAAAGTGTTTACGTTTCCAGCAGGGTTCCACCAGGGCTTTTATGAGCTCTGGGAAAGTTTTGTGCAGGACCTTGATAATAATGTTGTCCACACCATCTGGACCTGGAGCTTTCTTTCGAGCCAGGGCATTAATGATTCTTATTAGCTCTGATTCAGTCGGGGAATGTGGCGACCTGCCTACCACAACTCAACGCTGCCATTTTGGTAACTCATAGCAACGAAAAACAAAACAAATAATGCTTATTCTATTGCTAATACACTGGTGTGCAAAAATTAAGGACGAGACGGTTTTTTCAATATAAATTTCTACAAAAGCTTTCCAAATCAAAACATTTAATACCGTAAGATCCCCAATACGTAAGGACATAAGTAATGTAAGCAACACTTACTAAAAGAGAAAATCAGAAATAAAAAGAAGAAAAAACAGCGATGTTAGTAGCATGCCTGAAGGCCGAAAACATCCCTGTGATGGGGTCCAGCAAGAACATCCGTCTTTAGCGTCTGCCCATGCTGAGAATGAGGTGTCAATAAGTTTGTTTGAGGCATTGCTGCCCTTTCGACTTGCAGCGCCAATCGAAGCTCCGGAATCGTTACTGGTGGTAAGGTACGAGGCTTGCCAAGCGTCTGCCTAGAAAATCCCATACATGCTCGATGGGATTGAGATCCGGAGATCGTGCCGGCCAATCCATACGTTCAATATCCCTCTCTAAGAGCTGTTCGGCAGCTACTGACGATGAATGGTGCATTGTCGTCCATGAAAAGGAACTGCGGACCCATAGCGCCTCTAAAAAGACGCACATATGGAAGAAGAATCTCGTTACAATAACGGGTCCCGTTGACAGAACCTGCGTCGAAGATGTGAAGGTCTGTACGACTACCAAGCATGATGCCTCCCCAAACGAGAACACTGCCACCTCCATACCTGTCCCTTTCAATGATGTTCGAGGGATGATTGTGGCTTCACCGCTCTCTCCAGATGAGTATGCGATGAGAATCGCACAGAGAACGCTTTCTCCGATGGGCAGGCGTTAGAGGTACACACCGTACAGGGCGACATGCAAACAGACCACCACCGTGCAGTGTTCTGGCCACGGTAAAACGCGATATCGGTCGTCCAGTCGCCTGTGTTGTGTGTCTAGCGTTTCTCCTGCTGTCTGCCGCCTGTTTTTTCTGGCCTGTAAGGCAATATACCGGTCATCTGCGGGTGTGGTTCCTCGTGGACGACCACTACTAAACCCCCGGATAGCTGTTCCTGTAGTTTGAAATTGTCTCCAAAGTCGTGAAACGAGGGTGTGAGCAATTCCGAACTCTGCAACCACACTTGTCACACTGCGGCCTTCCTCCAACTTCCCAATGATTCGACTTCGGGTAAAAGCATCCAGATGTCGCCTAACAGATTGATTATTCGCCATTTCTCGCTGAGGCAGCAACTCGGTGTGATTTTAACTGCTATACGGCGTGCAATCTCTTTGCCAGAAATACTGATCTTACACCGACAACATGCTTTATACTACTCAGACACTCCCCATTACGTCTACCTGCATATCTGAGCATGTGCTACCGTACATCACCTTACTTAATCTCCTGATTGGTCTTTCTGTCCGCTCTGCCTTTTCGTTCAGCTGATATGCTAATTTTTCGACTTCGTCCTTAATTTTTGCACACCAGTGTATAGTAGATATCCAAAAAATTGATATTATTAACGATCTGTTTTTATTATCATAGTTGCTTGCCCAGCTACGCTTTATTTATTATTGTTCAAAACGCTTATTATACAAATTAAATTATTTTTATTATTATTATATTAAAAGCAGTGTGTAATTATCTGTCTCAAAAATTGTACTACCATAGGGAACATTCGGTGCCAAATATATTGCTCCAATCCTTCACCTCAAATTAAGACCTGACTTCTGAAAGATGAAATCAAGTACATGCTGTACTATTTCTGTTGTGGAACTTGCTGTGGGCTTGAGATCCATTGTGAATGCGGTAGGGTTTAAGCCTGATCAATTGCAATTTTGAAGGCAGGACCAAATTGCTTAGTAGTATTTATACAATATTTACGGCATGGGTACAATTCAGATACACGCACTAATTTCACCAAATGTGGCGATATGTGTTCTGCGCTGGTTATTGGCGCGATTGCGTGTTGTATGGCAACCCTGTTGACGTTGACAAATCTTTCGCTGGAGCTCGTTGGTTCGCGTCATGCCAGTACCTCCTACATACAAAGCCAAGGCTCTAGGGTTGCTTGAACGCTCTGACGTCACGAAAGTCGTCTCTCCACGAAATACAGTGTGTAAAATTACTTTGAATTTACTTCATGAAAATTTTTTTTTGAACTGAATGACTGAGCAAAACTTCATAACCCTCAAATTATTTTGAAAAATATCATACAATCATCAACAAATACTTTCTAAATAATTACTGCAAAAAGTTAATGATAATCTTTTAAGCAATAATTTAACTAAGCAACGGAAATTGAAAACATTAAAAAATCGTCTATGTATGTAGCAGAAATGAATGTTATGTGTTTAAGGTACAAAATAAGAGAGTGAAACTAACCTATTTTTTCTTAATATTTTCAGACTTGTAATTCATTTTTTTAAATGAATATTTTCTGAAGAATGTGTATATATGTTGAATAAAAAAGGCTTTTCTATTTATGTTGTGAAATCTTTGCCACCTATTCCAAAATGCATGCACGCATACACACACACACAAAAAAAAGGGAAATATTTGCAATTATCATAGAAAAGTGCTAAAGCTCTAAGGTCTGTTATATAATATACTAAGCGTTTTCATCATAAACTAAAGAATATTCATTTTTGAAGATAAAATACTTTGTCAATTAATATTACTTTCGTTTATATCTTAAAATCAATATCTTGAAATTTTCTAATCTTATTTTAATTGAAACAGACGTGTTTGTTACATTAATTTTAAACTGTAAGAAGGAAGTATGCACAATTTGTAGTCAAATACAATTCCAGATGACTAATTTTTTATAGATATTTACTAATATTATTTTTCATTTTATTCTATGTTTAATTCTGTCAAAGAAATAAAATTTCTAGAAATATAGTTGTACGTATACAGAGGAAAAAGGCATCTGATAACTCTATAAAAAATAAACTAGAATAAAAAAGTACTTTCATTTTCTTCCCAGCTGTAAGGCCTCATACATTTGTACTAAGTTATTTTTCTCAAAGGGATTTACTGTAATAAAAAGTAAGTAGCATCAAGTTGCCTAAATAAACATTCACTCCCTTTTTTCTCACTATAATACATGGTGTCATTTCCTATTATTTCTAGTTATAATTGTACCGGTAGACAAATGTCAGGTAAAAAATAAGTTTTTTTAATGCGTTTTGCACCCTAGTTGTGCTACTTTCTTAATAAAGATCTGAAATTATTCTGAAAATTTTAAATCTTACCTTAACACTAAACTCCTTATTCCTTACAATTCTAAAAATTCAGGGCATTTGATCTATTTAGATGTTTTAAAAGTTTCTGCTGATTATCCTGATAAAAAAATTCCAGTAAGTGCATATCAATTATACAACTTCATATTTATCATTTGCTAAAAAATTCTTAGATAAGTTACAATTAAATGATTTTTAGGAACAAAAAATTTACTAGTTACAAGAAAATTATATATGTACATATTAAACAAAAGGGATGTTACAGACATTAAATGATAAGAATGAAACTTGAGAATTTTGAATCCAAACAAGTGTAAAGTTTGTTGAATTTTTGCAATTTTCCTTTTTTGTTATTGAGAAAGATGCAATTACATATTCTTCAAAAATAGGAATCTAATTGAAAAAGCTTAAATGTATGGAATTTTTTGCGCTCCTATATTGAAAATTAACACTGAATAAATACCAATATATGCTCAAAAATAGTATTTTTCATATTGCTCAAAAATAAGTATTCAAATCATACTCCAGGTTTATTATATGTTACGAAATTCAATCCTACAGTGAAGTGAACAAGATCAAAACCGGAAAATTACTAAACAAATATGTGTAAATAGCAAATGTTGTTAAAAACTGATATTGCAAAAATAAAACATGATTAATAAATTTAGGATTAGGGATTTTTTAGTTTTAATCAACTGTTAACTTGTCATTATGCATTATTGTTGCCTTTTTATTAAGGAAGAGGATATTTAGTAAAATATATATTCAAAAAACAAACCAGCAACAGCCAGATCTTAAACATGTATTTTATTACCACCATCTGAAGTGAAGTATGTTAAATCAATTTCTGTTCTATTATTTTAAGTGTAAAATTATTTAAGAAAAGTTAAGATACGTATTTGAAATTAGGAAATGCAGTCGATGAAGGGCAAATCGGATATACATATTTATTTATTTAAAAACCAAATGATATAAGCCTTCTGCAAGGGGGGGGACTACGTTTCATTTTCTTCGTCTTAAGGGAATAACAGCGATAAGTGGCTTCATGTGGCAACCATGCTGTCTGTAGATAAGGACGACTTTAGTGACGTAGTGTCGCCGTGCCGTGGCTTTGTATGTAGGAGGTGGCATGCTCGTTGTTCACGTCTGTGTCTGAGAGGTGTGGGGGGGGATAACTGTGGAAGTTGTGAATTAAGTCGCAAAAGGAATATCTTGTGGTCATCCTGTGAGAGAGTGGTATTGGAGAAGTGGAGAGAGGGTCGGGAGATTATTTTTAGTGGCTGTGCATGATAAAAGTAGAGATTTGTGATTATTTGTCCTTTTATTTATTTGTGAACCAAAGTGTGAATTTTCTGGATAGTGTGTCTGGCTGCCATATAAATACGATAGTGATTGCGTGGCGGCATATTAAAGGCAGTATGAAATTGGTATTTCTGCTGTTCGAAAAAGCATTAATTCATGGTAAATGCGCTTTATTTTATTCTTGTTCTTATTTTGTAGAATATTGTGTTCATTGTTTTTTTTAGTATGAATTTCTGTCGTTATTGTTTTTTTTAATTGTTTGAAATTTATTTTAGTTTATTTTGTTGATTAGTGCGTAGTGTCTAGATTGTGCAATTCGTAGATTTTTTAAAGTTGAAACAAACGCTGTGTCTAGTATTTTTGAAATTTATTGTTGTTATGTTA